ATATAAGATTTATTATACTTCTACATTGTCCAATATAAGTTCATTTGTTGGCTTGCAAAATTATAAGAACATTAAAGGGGGGAAAAGGAAATTCATTAATAAAAAAAGACTGACTGAATGACTGATTGATTTACAAAATTTATATGACTTGCCATCTAATGCAGTAATTCTAGATGGTGTACAATAAGCAATTAAAAACAAGATTGAAATAAAAATACCCTTCCCTCAGGTGCCATATCAAGAACCTCCAACTTAACCACCATCCTAGTCCAATGCTTAAGGGAAGAGCCAGATCTTCACAGTCTTAAATCAGGAGTGGGGAACGATCATCCTTTTATGACCTGTAGTCTTCCACTCCCAGAATTCCTGAACCAGTCATGCTGGCTCAGGAATTCTGGGAGTCCAGAAGTCATAAAGGGACCATAGTTCCCCATCTCTGCCTTCAATTATAACACTAGGAAGTCCCAAACATTTAAAGAAAAATGAAAATGTAAAAAAAAAATGTTATCGGGGATCTTTCAACAAACCTTCCTTCTGGACATTTACCCAGACAGACAATGGCTTGATATGTGATGAAGCCCAGCACTTGTATTGTCCAGCAAACTGGTCAGAGGCAACGATGAATTCAAGGATGCGTCCCCCAACCAGGGTCTTGTGCCTGAAGCCTGAAGTCTCTTCTACGGGTTGGTTTCTGGCAAACCAGCGAATTGTGTTATTTGTGCTAGGATAGACAGGACAACCTAGAAAAACCAAAGGTATTTTTAGCCCCTTTTGCCCCAGAACATTTAAAACTTGCTTACAGAATAAAGAATTCAATTATTCTTAGGTGCCCTTGTCCAAAAAAAGATGATGGCATTTCCAAACGTCAAACCAGATCCTGAAGATGAAACTCAAATACTTTGGCCACCAAATGAGAAGGAAGGACTCACTGTAGAAGAACCTAATGCTCAGAGAGATTGAGGGCAAAAGAAGAAGGGGACGACAAGAGAATGAGGTGGCTGGATGGAGTCACTGAAGCAGTTGGCATCAGTTGGACTCCAGAGGATGGTAGAGGACAGGAAGGCCTGGAGGAACATTGTCCATGGGGTCGCGATGGGTCGGACATGACTTTGCAACTAACAACAATATCTCCAAACTAGCTGCAACATTTCAAAGTCCCCCATGGATTCTTTTCCAGAGCAAGGAGTACAGGAAAAATAGAAACCTCTACAGCAGCGGTATCCAATCTTGGCAACTTTTAACACCTGTGGACTTCAACTCCAAGAATTCCCCAGCCAGCCATGCCATGTCATTGCATCATGAACCAAATCCCGCCAGAATTAAGAAGAATTCCATTTTTTTTAAATTGGGCTTTTTTATTCTGCCTTCCTCTTGTCCCCATTCCCCCGCCCCCCTCCTTGCTGTGTAGCTTTTTGGCCATAATTCACCCTGCTCTTGAGATATTCAAATGCTTTATTCGTACACAGTTGAGTTCCTGGGCTGCCCTTTTTGGAACCTCCTAGAACCAGAAATGCAGAGACTCCCAAATAACCGCAGATATGACACGAATGAAACAAGAAGGGCCCCTTCCCTGCCACCCATGGTTTCTTGGCAGAGTTGATATATGGGACCACCATACCTATTCGTAATGTATCACCAGCAGCCACTGTAACTTTGGTACCAATTGCAGATGCCATGAAAACACGTTTTCTTTTACTGTTAGCAGACGATTCATTGTGTGGTTTTCTTCGCCCTAGAATGATGGAGGAAATTATTACCGTGGTGGTGCAGTGGTTAGAGCACAGCACCCCAGGCTACTTCTGCTGACTGCCGGCTGAATGCAGTTTGGCAGTTTGAATCTTATAAGACTCAAGGGTGACTCAGCCTTCCATCCTTCCAAGGTGGGTAAAATGAGGACCCAGATTGTTGGGGGCAAGAGGCTGACTCGGTAAACTGCTTAGAGAGGGCTGTAAAAGCACTGTGAAGCGGTATATAAGTCTAAGTGCTGTTGTCCTTCCTTCCTTCCTTCCTTCCTTCCTTCCTTCCTTCCTTCCTTCCTTCCTTCCTTCCT